GTCTTTTTTTCCTTGATGTGAACAAATTGAAACACTGCCATAGCTTCATTATTAAAATGATAAAAATCAATTATTTATTTTTTAATTAATTATTTCAGATCATAGTCATATTTAAGACGACTGCACCCACTAAGAAATGTCTTAGAAGCTACTGCAATGCATCTTTCACCTCTTTAAACAATAATAAAAAAAAACAAATCTTAGGTAAAGCAAGCAAAAAATAATTATTTAATCTACAGAACAGGAAAAAAAAAGAAGAATGAACAAACATAACAGTTCATTTAAAACTCTGCAAGCAAACTCAGAGTAAACTGGACTGTTTACTTTTTTTTAGTGGCTGCAGCCCACTCTCCCAACAAAAACCCATTCAAATGTGAAACTTCTCCAAATGAAGATATATGTCAGCTGTAATTGTTACCAGCTGTTACAGCGTTCAAGAAATCCCTTTAGCATGAATAAAATTAAGTGCAACTTCATTTGAATTCTACCTCATCTACTTTCGCAACACACCAGTGAAAACAACATACTCTGATCCTAATGAGCAAAATTAGTAAAAAAAAAAAAAAAAACCCTGAGAGTTTGGTTTGAAAACTCACCTGTTAGAGTATTAACAAAACACTTGCTGACTTAAATGCAAAATTTCCTGAATGGAACCAAGTAGGCTTGATTTATTTATTTATTTATTTATTTATTTTATTTTATATTTATTTTAACAAACAATGAAGGACTTAAATTCTGAAGTTGAAGACTTTTCACTTCCCATATTGGGTGCAGTCTTAATAAAAAAACTGTAAAGTACAGCTTTTCAAACATAACTGCATGAGATGCTATGTACAGCTAAATTCACATTCAGATTAATCTCACTCCCTCCCAATGAAGAGCCATTAGGATCTCTGTTTGCCTGTTTCACAAGAGAGGTTTTGTTCACATGTATAAAAGTGTGAATTAGATGAGAAACAACTCATTTTAAATAATCAAATATATTTGATGGGGGTGTTTTACTTTTCTTCAAAATTTAGGAAGCATGCACCACATAATTAGATGCACACAACCCAAACTGCTAAAGATTTGATGTTACAACTTTTCCACATTACCTCCTTTGTTCCTTCTTGTAATGATGGGTTATCCAACTATATTTTTTTAGCCTGCATATGAACCACAGACTTGATAAGGACCCACAAACATTTGAGATTTGAACTTCAGAAAATTCACTTTGCCTATTTATCATTTTCACTCTTTGGATCTCCTTCAGCTCACCCCCCACCCCCCACCCCCCATACTTTTCATCTGACTTGGGTCCTAAGATTATCTGCCAAAATCAAAAATCAATGCTAGATAAGCGAAGGGGGGAACACCAGCTTTTGTGCCTTGTAGGCACAAAGTTTGAGTATGGACACATCTTCACTTTGATTAATTTGTGTTGAATTAAATAATAATGTAGATTTAACTACATCATTGTTTCTGCTTCACAAGTTCAAATTAAAAGCGCCTAATGACTGAAATACTTTTCACATATTTGCAGTAATATATTGACAACAACAATCCCTGTAAAATTTACTCCATTTCCTTTTGAGTCCCCTTCACATTGGATGACAAACCTGCGACAACATAAAAAAAGAAGAAAAAAAAAACAGCCAGATGTGGATGGTCTTGGCAAGTTCTTCAGGCATGCATTAGGAATGTGTGATGGCACATAGTAGGTCCTCAATGGTTTGGCGCATGCACAAAACTTTCATAACAAGATCCTGGTAATTTATCATTGGGGTGGCAGCACACTGGRGCTGTGGGCAGAGTGTGGTGACAAAGTATCCGTGACAGGGGGCTCGTGGGCACTAATGTTTTGTGTTCACTGAGAATTTGAAACAGGACTGGGCTCAGAACTATGGCTAGGCTACAATCATGATTGTGACAAGGTCATGGAGACAAGACGTAACCTGCAGTTACCTGTAGCTGCATCCTGACACAGTCCAAGAGAGCTACACTGTGGTGGGAGTGTAAAGTGTGGTGAGGTTGCAGGAGAATATCTCTGGTTCACAGAATAAAGGAGAAGAAAACCTACAATTGTAGCAGTGTCATGATTGTCTTCACACCAAAGGAAGTTTTCCAAATGTGCCATWATTCAGTTCTTGTAGGTTATGTAGGTCATGTATAGTGTAGTGGTATCATCCACTGTGATGGAAGGCTTAAATTCACACATCATTTTGAGATGTACCAACAGTGTGTTGGTGGGCACTCGCACACAWAAAGCTGGCAATGATAATTGTTTTAAACTCACCTGTAACCATGCTGAGTATCCACACACACGCCTCCATTGAAGCAGGGGTTTCTGGGATATGTAGCACAGGACTGATGGGACTGCTCTCTGCCTGGGCATGAGCACACAGCTGTGGATTCCACCGTCACAGACACTAGACTCATAGTTCCACAGTCCACCACTGTGGGTGTGTCTCGCACGTTTAAAACATTGGTGCAGCCGCCTGCACCGATGCACTCTGAATCATGGCACTCATCTACACGGATTTGGAACACACTGACTTGCAGGAATGACTGGAGCTGAACAGAAACAAACAAAAGAAGGAATAGGTTATAAGCTGAAAAACTGACAACAGACCTAGTAAAAGACAAATACATTTTTGAGACRTTCTCTGAAGCTTTAGGCACTGTTTTGAGAAAGAGCATTCTGATTTCCTCTTTTGTCCAATGACTTCAATTCTACTTTTTTTTTCACTGTAGGCAACACAACTCTTGGTTGCTGTTTTGTTCTTGCATCTTTCAGAGTTGTACAACAGGATGTATTTTCTTTTACACTGGCACCAACTACTAGCAGGGTGATAGTACGGAGACAGCAATCCCTCACCAACGGCCCACACACGAACACTGCCAACTGTGTTGGATCAATGTAAACAGAGAAAACAGAAGCACTGCAGCCTGGTGATGAACTCAGGTCTCTGCAGTGGTGAATGAGAGTTAGGGTAGTATTTATACTTCTTCGTATTTACAAAAGTTTCTCAATACAACATAATTCATTTACCCCCACATAATTATGTTAAACCATGGTGACTGCTCCATTTTCTGTTGACCTGTCTGCATGTTTCTAAAATTCATGCACAACATGGTGAGTGCTGACAGGTTCTCCAGTGAATCAGCTGCATTGTAGTTGTGTTTGATTTTGACAAGACTATTTATTTATTTATTTATTTATTTATTTATTTATTTATTTATTTAATCAGTCTTTCAACTAGCTCTGGGTTAATTTACACTTTTTCCTCTTCAATTAATTTTTTTTCCCAGTTTTGGTCATCCTTCACTTTTATGCGTGTTGAAATGAGCCGTCATGGGCCCTTTAATACTTACTGTGACACAATTTGTAACTATCTGAGTTTGTTTCATTCTAGCCTCGGCCCAGCTTCAAATGAATGAATGAATGAATGAATGAATGAATGAATGAAAGAATGAATGACAAATCATAGAGGGAAAAAATGTAAGCAAATAGTTTTGGTTGATTATTGACAATAAGTCTAATATTGTAGGGAAGCTTGTTTGTTCCYCTTTGGTGCCACATTTGTAAGAAAAGTGCATTTGTGGACTGAACAATAGAGTTGAAGTGTAGGCTGCACACATGAAAACCTTGCCAGATCTTCTTTGTCAATATCAACTAGTTCATTCTTTTTAACCACAGAACCCTAGATCTAAATCCAACCTTAGTAGAAAAAGACCCAGAAATACATAATTTAAAACACACAAGTAACTAAAACAAAGCAAAAGTATGAAGTGGGACAAAACAGTATTCTACAGGATGAGAGCTGAAAAGTCAAAACAAAAACAGCTAATAGACAGGACCCAGTTTGTGGAATTTTTGGGTCCATTTCACGCTGTCACACTGGCAGGAAAACAGTCAAATCAGTAACGAACAGTAACACTATATGTAATGTGTTTTGACTGTTACCATTAGGTCTGCTGTGCTTGCAGTGCATTACTCACATACTGTCTAAATACATYGACTTTTCCAATTCAAATGCATGTGATCCCTCTAATAGGTCTTTTTTCCCCCATCAGCTTTTCCTGGAAAACTCACTTAATAGATCCACAATACATACACAGTTCTGCAGCRTGTACTGTCAGTAAGTAGTTTAGGTCTTGGAAACTTTTGCAGTGTTCGTTTTTTGCARTAGTTGGAAGAAAGTGGGCTGTACGGCGGTCAGGCAGAGAGGAAGCTATGACCCTCAAGGTTGAACAGATTGATAATGCACTGGAAAGGAAAATTTAATGAATATAGAGTATGTACTGCAAATGGTATGTGCATGTGTGTATGTGAACTTCCATTTTGATGTGCTCTCCTTTCTGGTAAAGYGACTCCGTTGAAGGATGTTGCCACTGAGCCGAGATTAACATAGTTGTGTTTATGGGAGTGATAATGTGCACACAGATGAAGATACAACACATTTWCTCGGAAACATGTTAAATACAAAAGCAGGTCACTTTATGCTCAATGTTCTGGACTGATTGGACCTTATTTGGTGTGAAACAAGTGCCCCGACTAACCATGCAACACCGACACTCCATTTTTTCGCTCAACTTGGCTGCACTGCAGTGACTGTAATTTCAATAAGGATTATTTTTTTATGGGTCACTGTATTTGCTGACTGATGTCTCATACCATTTGGGCTTTAAAGACCATGTCTTTGCCAATATGAGAATGGATTTTTTTTTCTATTGAACACTTATTGCTTCCATTTGACCTACCTACACATCATTAATYCCTTTGCTTCATCATCAAATCAAATGGATCTAATCAATTGTCTCCACTGACTTCGATGTTTCACAGGAAATATCCAATCCAACAACAAATTAATTTGGACAAGCGGTGTGCTTGTTTTAAAGTAAAAAAAAAAAAGATTTAGCTGTTGTCACGTAAAGCTAAATGTCAGTAAAACCTTATTTCTCTTCTCTTGTCAATGTAATGTGTAACTAGAGTTCAACACCAAATGCAATAGAGAAGCAAGTCAAAGCTGGCTAGAAAATATTTTATATTAAATTAACCTACTTGTGGTTTACCTCTTTTACATTGGTCACAATTTGAAATACTTATTAAGATCTGGTTTTAAAGAGTAATGGGAAAACATCCAGTCCCATTTCTGCAGAGATTGTTGGTATTTATCAATATCTATTTGGGCAGAAACAATTTCTTGAACAACTCAATTACAATAAATAAATAAATAAATAAATAAATAAATAAATAAATAAAT